CACATCTTTTGAATATTGAAAATCTTTTACTCTTTGAGTATTATTAAAATAGTGTGATGCTATTTTAGCCAAATTCCTAATTCTATATCTTAAGAGTGGTTATCTTAAGTGTGAGTTTTAGGTTCTAGATATTTGATTAAGTGTGTCATATCTTAATTAAATTCTAGATTCAAACCCCAAGTTAGGATAAGAGTGTGTAATATCTCTTAAACACCAACTTGGTCTATCCATCCCTGATTTTCTTCCATATCATATCCCCCCATTTCTCCTCTTAATCTTACTCTTTTCTTCCATAAAATACCCAAAAGAACTCCCTCATCATCTCCATATATTTCCAGTCCATTCCCCCACAAAACACCCTTCTCCCTGCCCTGAATTCTGGCAAATAATCGATTATCATTCCCCACAATCGATTATCAGTTCCACTGGAAACACCTGCAGGGATCAATAATCGATTATCCTTTCCAGATAATCGACTATCAGCTTCCCCAGAAAATCTGCAGCCTTCAATAGTCGATTGTCACTTCGTGTAAATCGATTATCACCTGCTCCAGAATCCTGAACTCAAAGCTGCATCATCCCTTGATTCCTCCTCAAAATAGCAACTCGTTTAGACCCCCGGTTCGGGCCTAACACTAACTTTTGACATTAATTAGGTATAAGATCCTCTCACTTGATCATTTGCGGTAAAAGTTAACTACAATTTAATAAACCCACTAAGTTCTCATCTTCACAGAACAATATCTTTCATTTCCCCAAATTTTCTGTATATAAAAGTTAAAAGTGTTTCTTAGAATTGTCAGAAAGTGAGGTCTGACAGCATAACTGCATAAGAATACAAGGTTTAAAAAACAATGAGAAGCAACAGTTTCTTACTGTATCAGGGTCCCACACCCTAACCACGTGGTGGTCTGCGGTTATTAGCTTTGACCGCTCGGTGTTAAGTGTCTTGTGCCACTTAATATTCAGTATTGGGCTTCCGTACCTACAAAAGTATCCGTAGATACATAAGTTTATAGCACTCAGCGGAGGCCAAGAAACAGTTTATAAGCTTGGGAAGAAGCCTACATGTGATCCTTCACTCGAACTGGATGTGATGAACGTAGATCATAAATCATAACCTGCAATTATAGTAAGAAGTTGCATGAAGAAGATGTCAAAGATAAATCAAGTGTCCAAAAGGAGCACACATTTGTAGATTCTTACTGAAAAATGTATACAGACAGAGCATGTGATAACCATAAAAATGAACTTGTAACTTGTAAGCATACAAACACAAAGATGCATGTTTGTACATAAAAAGAAGTGCATCAATGAATAGTTCTCAAAGATCATCAAATCCAAATATAGCAAAATGAAGAAAGAAATAAAGAATCAAAATCAAATTACAGCTTGATTGCGAAATATATACTTGCAGGCATTATACAACATTACCCCAGTGCCTCAAAGGCTCCCGCCCATTGCGGGGTAAGGGCGGTTGGATGTAAGCATCCTGACCAGTGACCCCTATGTTTTAAACATAGAACGGCTGTTTCCAGATTGCCCATGATATTTGCAGGCATTTCAAGCAAAAAAATGCAGGAATTCTGAAGCGCTGTAATTTCCTGGTGTCATTTCTTTTATTTTTTTCTGCGTTATTTGCAATGAAGTAATTGCTCTACACTAATTGTTTGAAGGTTCTTATTAGTTGCACTATCTCTTCAGCTCTCCAGAAAAAAAAAATTAAACAAAACACACTTAGATACTCCATTCCACCTCAATACCTTAATTGTGTTATTCCACCTGAACAGTCAACACTTTGAATATTTTTATTGCATTGAATGCATTCTTCGTTAAAATGTTCAAACAATATTTCTCCAAGGTATTGAGATCAACAAGGCAGAAAGATTTTTAAATTGCACCTTAAATTTCACATTTTCACCTAATCCTCCATCCATATGTCTTAAGGTGCATATCGACAAAAAGACGTAGGTTAAAGTCTATTTCAAGCTCTCGATGTCCTTGGCAATGTGAGTACTTGTTAATTTAGCTTACCTTTCCGCCACTACTTCCTGCTGCCATTAGGTAACCTCCATCCCCATCAAACTCTATCGCGGTGACCTCCTGCAGTTTATAAGTTTATTTATATTAAATCATTATTTATAATGTCATCATCTGAGAAATTTGAATAGCTTTGCACATTGCACAATAATTTAGTTATCCATCGATACACACACAGACATCCCTTCTAACTCCTTTCTATTTCATAAACCAAATTATGGGTAGTGTTTTATGAAGTATATGCTATATTTATGGGGAAAACCTGGTCGAGATCACCAGCAGCAGCGGCGGCATTTATCCTTCCAACTGAAGATCTTGTTCTCAAGTCAAAGCATTCTACTGCACCGTCGTCCCCTCCACAAGCTATTAATCCATGGATCTTACTGAAAAGCAGTGTGCAATGAGGGGAAAATTATCAGAAGAGAAGGATTTCACCCTACTTTCCCAGCTATGAGCATGAATGCCAAATGCCAATACAAACTTCAATTATTTACTATGAAAATTCAGAAATGACCACTAATAGACTGAGCAAAACCTTCGAGAAACAACATTTAATCCCGGAGACTGAGTGCATAATGAGGTAAGAAAACGACCCTGTAAAAGGATAATAAAATTAGAACCTGGAGTGGAATTAGATGAGTGATCAATGCAAAAGAAACACTTTATATAGACTATATTGCATTACAACAGACTAGAAGAAACACTATTAACTGATTGACCTAATCAGATTCAGGATATGGAGGTAACTTTGTAATACTAACAATAAATAGTAATAATAATAATGATCTTATAATAATATACTAAAATCATAAAAGAAATACGAATAGAATAGAAATGCCTTGTGGGCATAAAGTTGAAATCATATAAAATACAAGTACCTGTTCTAAATTTATTCTGTACAATTCTGGCGATGAAGCAGCACACATCAAATCACATGACCAGCAATCATAAGCAATATCCCTTCCCATCCTATTCCAGAATGAATACGAACATATAATTGTTAAATTCGGCATGCGGACAACTACATGAAGACATGTCACTAGAGTGAAGTTTAAAATGAACAAGATATCAAGTTATTCAATTAAATTCTACTGCACCCTCTAGACCAAGCATTAGACCAATATAACAGCATACCTCATGAAATTTGCCAGATCTATTATTATCCTCACTTGTGTCTAATTACGCTTAGAAGGTTTAGAGATAATCATAACTAGAATGTTAAGGATGCCAATTTGGACATGTGTTGAGTGTTCTACATCTAGAAGCATCATTAACATTCATCCGTCAATTCTATCCTAGCTGCATGAAATAAAGATCATGTGAATATTTAACGCCTCAACTGTTTTAAGTGCAGAACACTATGAACTGCCAATCTGCAATCATAGTATATCGTTGTGAGATTAACAGTTGTTGTGCACTTATGCTTCTCTACTTTAAGCAAACAAAGCAGGAACTACCAGACAAGCTAACGATGTTGAGAATCAAATCTTCATGACACAGTCTTGTTAAGGGTTTGTCACTTTGTCCGGCAGCATATTAGAGTGTATTTGAATGCAAGACCATAAGTTAAGCCAAGCATTTGAAGAAAAAGAGTTTTAATGTGTATAAGGCAAAAAGCCTTTTCAAGAAGCTTAAATAGTTGAAGCTTTTATAAAATGATTGTTTATAAAGTAATGCGCCAAAAAGCCAAACAAGCATCTAAGGAAAAAAGAGAAATAAATAATGGCATGCTAAAAACGTTTCCATGTTCTTTAAAGACACTACAACACAGTTGTCACGGCGTCGCCTAGGCGTCCTGGCGCCCTTCTACCCTCGCCATGGGAGCTCTCCTTGCCTTATTTTGCATACCTCACCTAGGCGTCACCTAGTACAGTGCTATATTTTTATTTTTTTACTCCAGTTCTTTTTTTCTAAAGTGTTTTATCCTCCCCCCCCCCTGACTCCAGTGCTTTACTTTTTAATGCATTATAAATTAGTTTATTTCCAATTTAATGTTTTTTTCTACTTTATCTTCCTAAATTCCTAATTAATACTCGATGCTTATTTTTTTAGATGCTAAATATTAATTTATTTCCAATTTAAGTTGGAAACACTTTTTTCAGCTTTGGTTTTTTTTTGTTTTTTGAGGAAAGTACCTAAAAGTAACTTTGGTTAAACTTTGATGTATTAGAAAAATTTGAAGTTTATCAACTGCAACATCTAATTTGATATATTTATATTAGTGTTTTTAATGTATAGCAATTCTCCTATATTATGTGTTGCCTATTATACTAGGTGTCCTGGCGGTACCCTAGCACCGCACCTTGACTAGGCACTGTGATAACTATGCACTAGTGCACTACAATGACTCAAAGGTCTCTGTGTGCGAGAGATTACACCTACAATAGCATAGTGATCAGTTCTTTTTCAAGTCCTACATTGAAATTCTGTAAATATTTAACATGTGTGTTTAGAATTTAATGCAAGGATGATAGAACCTGGGAATACGTAAACTGTAGTGACTTCCATATTTTGCATGGAGACAAACTGAGCGATCAGAACAAAGAAAAGCTATTTTTGAGTAGTCATCGTTCAGGACCTACAAAAGCAGGTAAAAGTGTGAGAGTGAAACACCATGTGGGCATGTGGCTTACGGCTTACCAAGAAGTTGGTATACATAAATGCACAAAAGCTACTATAATCACATAACTGACTCCATGTAACAATTTTTTATCTAAATTTGTAATAGAAACACAATCAGCCAATATTCGGCCACAATCAAAACAATATGCAATCAATGTGGATGACCAACTTCTAATGCAAGACTACAGATGTTCATATAAGTTGCACCTACCGAAAATGAATTTAATACCTCAAAAATAACAAAACACCCACAGGCAAATGAATTTAATACCTCAAAATTAACAATCTCTGAAATCAAATGCCTCTCAAACTTCATTGACAGTTCCCGCAACTCATATACTTTAATTTGTGGGGGATAAATACCTGGATTAAATAAATCATTGCAATTGGTAAATGGCATGGCAAGTAGCTAGAAAAGCAAAAAAAAAAGATTAAACATTCATCACCTTCACCAAACAATGAAAAAAAGGTAATGACATGCAAATATTAATAAGGATACAGAAAATACCCAGAATTTTAGACATGTAGCGTAAATGTGTAATACACTCTACTCATTTTTCTTTTCAAAACCAAAGTACAAACATTTCAACTTTTCACGCTTGACGTATCATCGTTTATCATTAAAATGACATTGTTTGTTGAAGACCTGTATGCAGCACATACGAGTACACAATTCTGATTTTCATCTTTTTGGGGAATACTAACATCATTGCTCCTGTACGTGATATTTATTGAAGAAGCAACTGATTGTAGTGATTGTACATTTAGTGACTGGGCTTCATATCAACATCACAAGATACCCGAGTAAAAAGTTTTCTAATGAGAAAAAAGGACCCAAATCTGGGTCCACTGGTCTGAACTCTGAAGAGTTTATGAGATCTGAAAAAAAGACCAGATCTGGGTGCAAACCTGACCCTTTGACAGGCCTAACTCTATAACATTATCACTATGCGCACACTTTCAGTGACCAGGAGTGCCAATTAGACATCTGCAAACTTAACTCACCTGATGCAATAAGATACTCCCCATCAGGAGTCGCCTTAATCTTAGTTGTTGCTGTTTCGAATCTCAGATCATGGATTATATCCAGTCTTTGCAAATAATCTACCCAAAGAGAAGATCAATCAGTGAATATAAAAGAAAATCAGCCAAAAGAGGTGCATATACCAAGAAACTAGATATAAATAATGTCCAACTTTCATAGTCACATCCACAAACCATACTAAATCATACTATTAGTAGCTCATGACCTTACATGCTAGGCATGCACATTGACAAATCCTTGCGCACTCCATTTAGCCCATTCTTGTTAAGGTAGGGTGATATAACTCTAACTCCATCCCAAAATACAGTTCTCATTTCAGTTTAAGATGTTTGACTGTAATAATTTTCAACTCAAATTCAAAATTTGAAATAGAGTAGAAAAAAATATGTATCCAAAACCTATACAATTTGACATGTGAATTGTGAATATTGAACATGTTTTATTTGGGAGAGCGAAAGCAGCGGTCATACACTTGAATTCACCAGTATTTGACTTATGTATTGTTCAGTTCAGTATCATTCTGGTTAGTTCCGTACAATATAGACTGCTTAGTTCAAAATCACGCCACTTTTGTAATATCCAATTCAGTTCATATAAGTGTTGTTGAACTCAACTCACTTCCGGTAAGTGCTATTGAACGGCATTGTGCATCTCTTACAATCAATCTTCAGATATTTGCACTAACTAGCCAGCAAAGCAAAATATGCAAGCTAGTCAGTGCCAAGGCATCATATGTGGTAGAAATTCATTTGACCTAACTGAATGAATACTTGGCACCTAGGTTCCGTAATCAGAGCCGGCACCTAGAGATTTATGACATTGTTTTATCAATTAATCTTTAAAGTTTGATAAGTATATTAATACTTGAATATTTTTAAACTGAATTTTACTCTGAACTAGGAGCACCTTTGAGTCTAATGCAAACATGAGTAGACCACTGGACCAAATTCATGTTTGAAACTTTAGAAGTTTGGAGGGGTATTAGATTGTTGATTTTTAATCTTAATATTGTAATGTGATCCTTATTTCTTTAATTGTTAAGTCACTTCATCAATATATCCACCTTATTTTTATTTCCAATTAGCTTGGGTTGGTGACATTAATGTCTTAACATAATATACTTCAAAATTAAAAATGGTATGCCTATGCTACAAACAACAAAAGATGTACAGTTACACTTCACAGCTAGCTAAATGTGTGATACAACAAAATGAATGAAAATATGAAATGCTTCTTTGTAAATAAAGAAGCTTTAGTTACTCCACATTGAACTTTGAGCTTGTAAATCACTATTTTTAAAAGAAATAAGAAAAATTGAGTAGATACTTGGATCTTTGCGAAGGGCCCTAAGCTTCTTAGGTGGAATCCATGTAGCTAGGGAACGGTTTTGGCCAGCAACCATATACATCTTGACGCCATTGATCGACGTGGATTTCAAACTCCCACCTTGGTACGCCATTGCTTAGATTTTTGCTCCTTCTGATTGGAACAAGGGGCTGTTAAGTTTCGTAAAATCGCCAAAAATTATTAATAATCTATGTGCGAATTATAAAACAACATTCGAATCCTCTGGAGCTTATTCACACAGAGTATTAGAATTACACAGGTAATTACAATTAAAACATAGAACATGGACAACTTACAAGGAGTTATGTGGAATGGAATTTTTTGGCGGTAGCTGCTTCACTTTTCTTTGGTCAGACTATTCCTGCAGATAGTTGAGCTGAACGAGAGTTCGGTGACCCAGCAGCGGTCAGTGGCTACCGGAAACGACTGAGATTTTGGGCTTGGGGCGACTTGCCGGACGTTCCACCACGTGCGGTGGTGCCTCGTGGCGGGCCTGCTGGCACTGGAACAGCTAGTTCCTGGCGGAGAACGACGGGAATTGGCGAGGCCGCAAGGGATGACCGACGGCGAGACGCAGACGGCGGCGGCAATTTCTCTGGCTTGGTGGCAGCGGCTGGGAACCTAAGCTTTTTCTTTTCTCCCTTTCAGAAGTGTGATTTTTCCATGGGCTGGACCGCTTGTGCGATACTTTTTCTTTGATATTTGGGTTTCAACTTTTCTTAATTGGGCCTACCTTACTCTTTGGACTAACTTAGTGGGTACACAATTACAATGATAAACCCATTACAGAGTATTCTGTGACATTTTACAATATTTTTTGCTATTATATTTTCATGGGTGGGGTTCCATTGATATTGAAATCCAGTGTCAACGGATGATACTCATCTAATTTTAAATATTTTTGGTGCTCTTTTTGCAAAATTGATTGTTCCTAATTCCTACCCCTAACCACCCTTCTAAACCCCATACCTCAATCCCACCCCAGTCCCCGCTAAGCTCCCCTCCAAATGTAGGGCTATTATGCAATGCTAAGCCCTACATTTGGAGGGGGCTTAGGGGGAACTGGGGTATGGGATTTAGGGGTGGTTAGAGGAGTATGAACCATCAATTTTGCAAACGGAGCACCGGAAGTATTACAAAATAACAGTTGCACCGTAGTGTCACCATACTCTGATGTCACTAGAACCTCACCATATTTTCAGACTATGTTATTTGTAGTTAGAGGTCTTATTTTACTATTTTAGAATAAAAATATAAAAAAATATTATTTCGGCACATGAACATGATTTAATCTTATTTACATATTTATGTTTTAATAAAGGAACAATTCATATTTTTCTTTTTAAAATAAAATACAAAGTTTGTACAACTAGGTATCGGCATTTTTCGTATATCCGCAATGAATACTCATATACAATATAATGGCTAAAAAAGAGTCTAATATATTGGATATGTTAATTCATGTATTTTATTCCAAGCCAATCCTAGGATAGTAAAATGAGGAAAAACTAGAAAAGCCATGTCAAATTAGTCATGTGACTAGTTAATGTGAATCAAATTAGTCTTTTGTGCGGAATTTTTCTACTAAAATTCTAAATCAGAACATTTAGATATAAAAACAAATACACCGAGCCATTGCTCTTGTGTCAATATAAGTGATAACTTAAAATTTTACACTAGCAGACAAAATTTGTTCGAAAAAACAAACTTAGGTTCACTTTTTTTTAGTCAAAGAGACTAATTTGACTCAACCAAACTTACATGGATCAAATTGAATCGTGGGTGGACTTACAACGAAAATGAGTATTAACTCGTTGTTATATATAGAGGTTTGACTGGACGATTTAGTTGAGCGGAGGGCATCCGAGCCTGGTGCGGTATTGGGAGAAAATGTGTGCAGCGCCATAATGTGCCAAAGCACCAAAGATGACAAACACATGGAAAATCTGGTGACTTTGTCCCACCAAATCGAACGCCCCCGGCTTCCATCTCTCCGGGATTCGGCTCACGTAAAACACTGCCCCTACTGTATAGAACAATGCCATGGCCCCCTCGTACGCCAGCGTCACATTCCTATCATCTCAAAACACAGAGAAAATTATAAGATTAACATATTCATTCTCTAAAAAAAGATTTTAAAAAAGAAACGGAGCAAGTACCTTTCTTGATTTGTGCATCGTGTTCATTTCACTTTTCACTAACCCTTTCTCCAAATGAAACTCCTATTTTGATAATTCATCCATGTTTTATGACTAGTTTAGTCTTTTTCACTATTCTTGTATGTTTTTACCTTTGTTATTTGTCCCACAAGTTTTAACTCGTACCACATTTGGTCATATTTTTGTGGTTCACACAGTTTCTTAATTTATGCAACTTCTTGTCACCAATATTAACCACATAATCTTATTTTTCTTAATTTTCGTGTCACTCCCGCGTGTTCCAGAAATTGTGGACCAACGGCGCTTCGTTAGGGGGTTGGTAGAGGGGTATGTGGGGTGTTAGGGGGTAGGACCTACTTCGGGATCGCGCAGAGCAATGTAGGACCCTCAAATCATGTGACATCATATTATAAATTTATATAACACACAAGATGGGTGTCAAAAAGAACCCACTCTAGACTCATAGAAGTTCTTTGGTCTCAAGAGAAAACACAATTTCAATTATAAACACTCGTAAGCGCGGAGCACAAGTATAGTAGAGTAACACACACACACACACACACCTGTAAGGGTCATTCCAGTAGACGACGAGAGCGTGGACAGCGGGGACCAACCCAAACAGGCCCATGGCGACGAATAGACACGCCCGAAACGCCCTGTATTTGCCCTTGGAAAAGGCAGGGGTGAGGAGAGTGAGGGTGATGCAGGTGCCAATGATGGATGTTGCAGTTAGGTAGATGATGTGCCATGGAGGGGAGCACTGGAAGATATAGTACATTGGGGGGAAGTAGGAGGCGAATATCATGACGGCTATTCCCACATAGTCCATTTGGGTGAGTGCGAGGCTTAGGGGTTCCGAGTGGCAGCAGAAGAGGTGGCACGCGCTGCTCGATAGGAAGCAGAACATTGAACCTGCCAAGAAGACGTACATTGGCCATTTTACTTGGCTCGTAGCCTCTCCTCGTTGTTGACCTGTCATCTGGCCAATTTGTTTAAAAGAGAGAAATAATGTGAGCCGCACATTCCTTTCCTTAAGATGAAATGAGGAAGGGAGAAAAATATAACTAGGACTAAAACATGTTTCGTATATAAAAAACCATTCATGGGCCACAACCACGAGCTTGAGCTTTTGGTTGAATTGGTTCCTTGACATGGTATCTGAGCCTAGTTGACTAAGAGGTCACGGGTTCGAAACTCAACGTCAGCCAGTTTTAAATAAAAGTTAAGGTTTGGTTTCACGTGCAAGGCTTGAAAAGACTACGCCTGCACGTGAGAGGGTGTGTTAGAATATAAAAAACCATTCCTAGGCCAATTGAGTTTTTGGTTGAACTGGTTCTTGACATCATATACCAAAACAGAATGCCAAATATACACAGTGCCAAATTGCGAGCGTTTTGCACTGCCAACACGCCTATTTAGGTAGATTTGTTAACGAGGAAAGAGTGAAGTATATATTGATGTGACTGTAGCATAACAAAAAAAAAGTGTCTAACCTGCAAAATATCCTTTACATTCTGAGAGATGTTAGCATCTGCATTAGTATGAAAATTCCTGCAGGGAACATTGAAATATCAAGAAGAAAAACTAATAAACATGATCCAGGGATAAATTTACACAATAGTGCAGTTTCCCAACATTTATAAAAAAAAATATAGGACTAAACTGTAAATAAGTCCAAGAATCTTTTCATTGTTTCTCTATTATTGCTCAAACACAATGTTTTTATCTGGTAAATTAAAATTCCCTCAACATATTGCGATCGTCGGTCTAAATGGTCTAATATACCTATCATATGTGCATTTATTTATTACTCTTTTCAAGCCTTTAATGGGAATCAAGAAAACAACTTTAAATTGCAGAACAAGAAAATTCTGCAAATGTTACCTTAAGAACATTGTCATGAAATCTGCTAGCTGATAAATATGGGCAGAGTTTGCCACAACAAGTACCAAAATCAGAACAAATCCTATCAAATGCCTGCCAAAAATCAACTTATTAACAACAGAGTTTATATATGAAAGTAATTCTAGAAAATATAGGTTATGTTTGGTTTAGGGAATTTGAAATGAAAAGAAAAGGAAATGGTTTTCTCTCATTTTCTTCACTAGAACGGAATAAATTTGGCTTTCCTTCATCTTACTACATTTTGTTTTCTCATTTTCTTTTCTTTTCACTTTTCTTTTCTTCTCTAACCAAACATGAAAAATTATTTTCTTTCTCATATTCTTTTCATTTCTCTTTCAAATTCCTTGAACCGAACATAGTGTTAGTCTCACATCGAACGCTCGAAATTAAAAAGACCAATACATTCACCCAAAAAAGACCAATATGTAAGAATATGAGTTACACTTCACATTGACAATTGGTTTTGGATTAGAATCAAGCAATTCTACTGAGTGTAAAACCCATAGCTTAGGAACTCAAAAAAGAAGTTTTTTAGTCCCACATAGAACATTCAGTCTAAAAATTAAACACAATAATATATAAGAACATGAATTGCTCCTCTCATTGACAGGTAATTATTTTGGATTGAAATCTCACACTTTTACAGTAATTAGTTTATAATTAAGCTGCAAAACCCAAAATTAACACAATAATAACATGTGAAGAAAAAAAACATTAAATAATTAATTAAATTACTATTAATAATTTAAATCAAGAATTATGGGAAGAAGAAGAAGAAGATGATGATGATACTGACGTCCAGACATTGAGAGTTTCATTGTGCCATCGGAAAATGCTAAAGAGGGCATCTTTGAGGGGCCATTCAGCTCTGTAATGATTCAGAATGAATTCGTTGTCTTTCATATACTCCGGCAATTCTTGAAAAGACACTAAATTGCATCTCCTCCTCTTCCTCGCCGCCGCCGCCGCCGGTTTTTCGTCGGCGGTGGTCGGAAGATGAAGGCCTTTCCGACCCTTTTCTTGGATCATTTTTCTTTTTTATGCTATTCCAAGCTGACCCTTTGCGATCATATCGGAAATGAAAGATTTCTGAGCTGAAAGATTTCTCCTTTTTTTTCTCAGTGATTTGATATTTATTTTCTTTTTGGGTGGCCAGCCACTATCCAACAACCCATTACCGCCGCATTAAAATGAGTCGTTTTGCTGCAAAAGGATTTAAGATACTACCTGTGCGTACTCACGGCAGTCCCGGGTTAGAGGACCATGTTCATTCTTAACTGTTGTGCTACAAATTGCCATATTTAAAAAAAAAAATTGAGGGGTTCTATGACATTAGAACACCATATAATGCAATGATCCGAATCCGCTACAGTGTTTCGTTCGTAAAATTTACAGTTTCTACCCTATCCTGAACTCAGGCCCTATCTCCATAACTCCTTTAATTACACCCTCAAGTCAAAATTAATTTGGGGGTGTAGGTTCACTGGAATGGTTAGGAGAGTAAGAACCAAAAATTTTATGAACGGGATACTGTAACGGTCCCGAGTCATCATAAGACATTGCGCGGCAATGTCACATGAATCGCCCGAAAAAGAAAATTAACCTCAAACTTAACTAATCTCATGAATAGAATTATGATGACATTGTGATAAAAAAAATAATAGTACATGACAGAGTAGTGAATAATCGGTCAATTGCCGATAGGCTATCGGTCAATGCCGGCAGCAGACACTCTAGCAAACGAAGACAATGTTCTAGCAACCGACGAATAACATTGGTAGTGCGGTGAGTGTAGTCGTGATAGTAAAATAATAACACTACAAGCTCCTAATTACTTTTATAACGCAAATGTGAAATGAAAAAAAAAAGTATTTCGTAATAAAATTTCATACTAAAAAAATCAAATAATCAAAACGAAAAACACTAGATCTCTATCATCAACAAATCCAACAACATCCAGACTGAGAGATTGTTTTCAATAAATCCCCGAGTCCCCGACTCAAATACAGAAGTAGAAACAAAGTATAGACAAAGACAAACGAAACATACAAACCAATTCTAAAAACTTGACATAAAGCATGAAAAACACAAGCACAAGCTATAAACCAAGGCATAAAAACAAATCTCCCTCTTTTATTCACTCTAGTAACTACACACAAATAGAATTTGGAGCTATATATATAACCCTCTATAAATCTTTCTCCAGCAAACTAATGGAATTACACTATGTACACGAAACGTTACAACGACAATCTTCAGGGATTCTGAGTTTCGGTGGCAATGTATCTACAAAATTTGAGTCGAACCCGAGAGGGTATTTCCGGAAACACAACCCGAAGAGTTAGGTGTCCCTGTAAATTGGTTGTGGTGTCCACTTGAGATGCAAGTTGAGCTTCCCTGACTTGGCACCGTCCAGTTCGTACGATTCTTTATATTCACTTTCCATTATTACCCTCGTCAATGTTAAGATACACCTTCCCATGTAATCCTGTAGAACGCAAAAATAACGTAAGAATATTACATCACAATAGAGCAAAAAGAGTCATTTTTTACAACGTTTTTAGCTTTGGGTAGATAATGAACTTTGAATGGCAAATTAAATTCCTCTTGCTTCTTGCTTTCTATAGAGTTTCCACCAATGAATTGAACTGAACTGAATGATATACTGAAATGAACTTAAAAGGTATTGAAGTGTCATGAACATATATGTACAGAAGTGACATGAGCTGAATGGTACTGAACTTAGCAGTACTAAAATTAATTGATATTGAATGGCCCCTAAGTATTACAAGCAAGAAACTCTCCAAGAAAGAGAAAAGCGTATTATAATGGACTAGACATGAAACTAAACAAAAACAAAAACCGAGTGTTGATTTTTGTTTTCCATCCTTATTATCTTACAATGTTCCTTATTTGGTCTATGTCCTATAAAACCTTGCGAATGGATCCATAACCTTGTAATGAAGTTTATTTGGTGCAATATTTGTATTAAGTTTTTACCTTCTTAAATGTGTCGTGATCATAGACTTCTAGAGTCAGCATATCATGCAACCCATCTTCGACAAGAAAGTCAAAAGTCTGATTCCAAACTGGATTCAAATTGTCCATGACAACCTAGAAGTGCAAGAAGGATAGAAAAGTAAGATTTAGGTCACCAATCTTTATGCACAAAAACAACCGTTCTGCTATTTCAATCCTTTATATATTCGACCCTGTTCTTTTGACACCAAGGGCTAAGGTCATAATATCACCAGATCATTCGAGGGTTCTATTCGACCCCGAATTGATTCCTATCCCCGGATCCTCCATTTACACTACGTGGTTCAAAAAATTTAGATGGAAAAGAAAAGAAAATGGCTCTCATTTTCCTCAACAAAATGGAAAATTTTGGTTTTCCCTTCTCTTAGTACATTTGCCGTCTCATTTTCTTTTCCTTCCACTTCTTTTCTTTTCCTCTCTAACCAAACATGAAAGTTTGTTTTCCCTCTCCTTTTCTTTTCTTTTCCCTTTCTAATTCATTGAACCATAGTATTAGGTGACAATTCACTGTCAAATACTTGACA